GGCACAATCTGAGGGATATGGTGGAAACGGAAATTGGTATGCAGACCACTCTGAGGGATATACCCAGTACGAAGAGGAGATAGGGGCACAATCTGAAGGATACTACGGAAAGGAGGATTTTTATGGAGACCACTCTGAGGGATATAACCAGTACGAAGACGAGCAAGAGGCACAATCTGAGGGATATGATGGAAACGGAAACTGGTATGGAGACCAATCTGGTGAATATCATCAATTTGATATTGGGTATGGAGAACAATCTAAGGGATACGAACAGCCCGGATATAATGAGAATGAGCATATTGAACAATCTAAAGCCAAAGGAGACGATCTCGGTGAAGATGTAGACGGAAACGATCAATATGACCAAGATTATCAGGGCGAAGATGGGTACGGAGATCAACAATTTGAAGGAGATAACCAGAACGAATACGGGAACGGAGATCTATGGGAAGGAATTGACCAAGAGGAATACTATTAGAAGATATCCATATTCATTTGTCAACATTTCCGCAAGCAATGTAAATTGCAGCATTGGTATTGGCCAGATTATTTCAATACAAAACAGCAATGATACCAATTACTCGTGTCCTTTCTATGAATACTTCGAGTGAGAAACCAAAGTTGAACCCATCGTAGACTCAAGGAGAATAAATTTCTAATGAGTCATCGAGAGCTATGAACGAACACACTGTCGCTTCACAATCACTTATCTGTGCAAAGCCGTCTAGTATCACTGGTCCACGACATGTGACGATCATTCATGAATGCGATAATCGTGCTCCCCTAAGATTTACCTGAAGGAGAAGATAATAAAGTGAGTTTTTAATAATTCGCGTATATTGCCGAGGCCATTCTCTGGGGTGCGTGTTGAATACGGCCGCAGAATGTGTATATACCAACGATCCTGCTGATTGAGCGTCTTATGGGTAGGCAACCGAAGTAAACAATCTTGACATGGACTCTAATTTAAATTTTTCTTCCCATACCGTTGCCACTGTGGACGACTTAGCATTCTCCTCAAGACCATGAAGAATGAAATTTTCGGGATGGCCATCGTTCAAGTACTTTCTATATTCACATCCAAATCGATCCTCTTAATGCAGCCCAATGACAGATATCCAAGCACTTGAAACCATGATTTCCCCGAATGAATGGCTTTTTCAGATATCCAAGCGTTCCACCTAGTTTGAGTTTACGAATTCGCCTCTTCCTATGGAACAATTTATGAAGGTCTAGCGTCGAGACGTCTATCTGACGACACCAAAGAAAATCCTACTAGATGAATGGTTAAGGAATTGCAAAGGTTTGATGCGTTGGCAAACATGAAAGGTTTGACTGAGCCCAATCACAGGGTCACTGTGCTTGAGATTTCCCATCATACCTATAAGGTCGAGGGGAGATTAGCTAAGGAGGACAAGTAACGATTTATGTCGAAGGCCGAGACGATTGCCGTTGCATGGCCTAACGCATTTGTTGGATAACTCTGGTATACATTATAACGATTGAACACCCAGTGGTGTCCTTGTTCCTGCGTAATCGTTGGGACTTAAGAAAAGCGTTCGTGTGTCTCGTACTTTTGGGAAAAACATAACAATCAGGGATTTACTTCCGTGTGTATTACGAGTTTTACTGAATACAACATTTGGTGTCACAACATGAGATCATTAATTGCTCCCCTGCGCCATTAAAGATGTGACCGTAACATTCAACTTACAGTAGAGTACTAGGAATAACGGAACACATCGTACAACAATTATATCGATGTCCTGTCTGTGCCAGATCTATCAGTTGTACTGGATGAAAGCAACAAATTAAAACGTTTGCGTCATTCACGTGGAGACGAAGAGAAAATAAAGTTTGACAACCTCTCTTTACAAACGTGCTCCAACGTAAAACCTGATCTCAGTACCTTAGACCCTACCATGGGATCGTAATTGAATGCGTTCATTACCAGTTTTCGATTCTCTCGCATGATTCAGGAAAACGGGGAGCCACTTAAGCAGTTTGTGTATCGATTAAAACACAGTGTGATTTACTGAGTATTCCAAAGACTCTCAGAAGAAACTCGAAGAATCGATGTCGATTCAACAATTTATGGCGGGTATCAAAGATTATTGACTTCGGGAATCACTCTTGAAATAGAACGCTGATAAACTGATATGGAAGTAGGTATATGAAGTAGCATACATTAAAGAGGAAATATAAAAGCAATCAGAGAAGTTTGTCCGTTCTAGTGAACGTGTTGAGGTCCATAAAGTAGATTCCTTGCCAATGAACAGCACCGGTAAAGGTACCACTTTACCCAAGTGAAAGTGTGTCCCATAAAAGCAATTACTCCTCGTGCCCGGCTCAATAAGCATAGTGTAAAAACTGCAACAAGATCGGTCTATTTGCTCGGGCTTGTCGTCTGAACCATATTTCTATTGTTGATAGACGCTTTTTAGTACAGGAAACCTTAAGGTGAACAAAAAGAACAACAAATTTATTTTACATTTCACGTGGCGTTTAGATTTTTACAGCCGACGCGTCAGTGAATGTTGAACGCAAACTAACTTGCTCGGACAATCTCGGGCAATCTTATTTTTCATACTCAAAATGGTGGTTTGCCATTGGCAATGGATTTAGGGTTTGCTTCACCTATATCTACAAGCCCGTCAAGCTTTTACGAACAGCAACTATGCATGCATTCATTGTACCCATATTCCTACAAGTTTGGCAGTTGTCCAAAATAACCACTGGAGATTAGAGGCTTTGTCATCGAAATCTCCCCTCGTAAACGGTGTTCTATTTTCCGAGAAAATTGTCTCCGGAATATCCAATGTTGTCACCGAGGAGCGCATCTGGGTGCCCATAGTATCTGCCTTAGCATAACTCACTGGATGAAATTCTATCCATTGAGAGAACGAGTTCGTGAGTGAACAATTGTTTTCGGATATTCCTAGTCATGCTCTTACATATAGTATGGTGGAAAACATTCTTACAGAATGATAGCTATTGGCTCAATTTAAGGTCACTAATCGGAGGCAGAGAGTAATGGAAGTGTATGCGTGTTTGTGTGCCCCTGTAACTTTAGCGCCTTCAGTAGATCTGTAATTTCACCCTCCACCTTTCTACGTTATCCTTTACTTTGTTGCATTTAGAGAACTTTTTTCATCCGAAGTTATTTCAGATGGATTGGCACACTGCAGTAGATATACGGATGATATCTTCTAATTGACCGATTGCTAAAATGGTATCCCATTGAAATCGTTTAATGAAGCACAGATATCACTGGATTTCACTGTAGGGTTTGAAACGAACAACATACTGGCCTTTCTGGATGTAGCCGTGTCCAGGAAAGAAGATGGATCAGTAAGAAGACAGTTCCACAGAAAAGAAACATGGAATGGCCGATCTACCAACGTCCACAGTTTCGTTCCTGTGAAATATAAACGCAATCTAGCCCGGTGTCAAGCCTTCAGAGCCCGGAAGATTTATTCAGCGGACGTACTGGATGAAGAACTACGCCTCATCCGCCAAACGCTACAGGACAACGGTTATCCGGAAAAGTTCATCGATAAGAACATTCGGCTCACTCCGGAGAAGGAAAACTCCAACTGTGTCCCCAAGAAATAATTATTCATAAGAATCCCATTTAAGGGGGACTCACACACAGAGAGCCTAGTCCAACCACTGAGAGCGGCTGTGAATTCTATTGTCCCCTCAGCCAAACATAGACTAGTGTTGTCTACATCCCTGGTGATGCGAATGCAAGTGAAAGACAAACTGTCGAAACTGACCTCTTCCATGATAATTTACCCTTTTAAGTCCGTTTGTGGCGCATGTTGCATAAGTCGTATGGTAAGGCGTTTGTCTCAGCGCGTTAAGGAGCACCACCCGCGATTGTTAAGTCAAGGAAAACCCGGCTGTATCTCAAGCGTGATCCTGGGTCATCTCGTCGATACCGAGCACAAGATCGAACCCGAAAAAGCGTTGATTTTGTTTATTGTATCCCACTCAATCGATCGAAGGCTGCCCGAGTTGAGACACTGGCCATGGCCGAACCGATCGTCATTCGCTTACTTTGGCCCAAACCTATGTTCCCAAGCACGACCGGTACACATACACACAAGCATACATTTCCATTACTCTCTGCCTCTGATTAGTGACCTTGAATTGAGCCAATGGCTATCATTCTGTAAGAATGTTTTCCACCATATTATATGTAAGAGCATGACTAGGAATATCCGAAAACAATTGTTCATTCACGAACTCGTTTTCTCATTGCTGTGATAGGAAAATTTTATCCACTTCAAGTAGGCGTGTACTATGTTGAAGCATATTACTCCGTTTGTAGGACCGACATAATTTGCATGTATTTGGTGAGTCAACTCATCCAGATGACTTCAGCCAAGTGCCTACGCGTTCCAGTTTCTGGACATTAAACCATGGGTCAGCAGTAGCGATCAATCAACAGGTATACAATTCAAACAGATGCCGTGGGGCTGTAAGAACGAGAACGGTGATTGATTGGTTTCCGTTTGATCAATGGTATTTCTGTTTACCCATTATTTAATCAATGGATTTCTTTCAATAAATGAAACGCTAGTTCTGCAGCCTTTTACTTCTGTCTCGGTGATGGGAGATCCCAGCTTACCAGTGCTAGTACAATTCAGTGTTTCAGTCACGTCCGTGATTTCTAAATCGGAATCCGTACCTACTTCGACTAGTACAATATTTCCTCCGCCAGGGCTTGTTTGACCAACGCCACGGATGAATAGAACCTGGAGGGTTTTGTTTTTATCGTTTCTGGTATGCATCACACCTCCGTAATAAATGCCCAACAACTTTGTCAATCCGTGGCCATTACCAACATCCTCTTGCTAGGGCTTTTATTCGGGTAACTCTAGGACGAGCATCATGCAATTAGCACAACAGTTGTGGTTGCGCCTTTCGTGGGATGACAATGAGTTTTTCCCAGAAAATTCAATCTTCGAATAAACTGAGTTCGTTATTTTTGGTCGTAGTTCATTAAGAATCTCGCTAGGTCATCCCGAAAGTATAAATGTTTTTACCATGGATATAGATGGATTGCCGTTTGTCATTCGTGTCCAGGTGTTAAATGAGATTATTCAGATCGGGAGAGTCCATGCATTCTACTTTGGTCAGTAATGAAGGGCGACTCGGTGCGCCTGCCGTACATTACTGAACCCTGTCATATAGTGCAATTCTTATTTGTAAGCACTCAGGAAAAATGCCTATCTCTCCAACCTTCGGGAGTAAAACTGTTGGATTTCCTTCGATTCGGCCGATAGGGCTAGCAAGGATTTATGATCGGTGTATATCTTGAACGAACAGTTTCATATGTATGAATGGAAACGCAGTACCGCGACAGCCAAGGCTTCTACACATAATTGAGAAAACTCCCTTTCCGCAGGTTGTAGTGTTGCTGATGCAAAAGCTACAGACTTTATCGAGTTGTCTTCCATACGATGAAAT